AAACATATAGCAATGAGACAGTTTCAAATCAAATCGAGAGTACAGTTTCAACAAATAATACACTGCATATATTCTTCTTAGTGGTTAATTGCTGTATGGACAGGAAATTTTTATAACCTTCTCCCTTTTGTCCCCCCCCCACTTTTTACATAATGAAAAACTTGAGTCTGCCCAAAATACATTATAGAGATTGGTTCTTCTCTATATTGAAGGAAGCATAGAGACTAGTAAAAATTTAACATCACCCTGGCAATACTATATTGCTAGCATCATATTATATGGCTATTCAAGCTTCCATATGTAGCTACAACCCCCTTTTTTTTATGTACAGGACTACGCAATGGAGTACTAATACCTTTACCTATCAAAAATTCACCGAGTCCCTATATTCCCTTCGGATCAGTACAGAATAGACTTTAATGACCGTAGGGTGTATGCCAGGAGTACGGGTTTCTGTTAATTTAACTGAAGCATGGTCACATACACCTACTGCTCATTTACTTCAAGTCCTGTTTGATCATCCAATGGCATATTCTCTTTGGTATTATTGATTTCAAATGTAGCTGTTTTCTTCATTGCCTTGGCCCACTCCTTTCAAACAGCTCATTTTATAGGTAATTGGATCAAGAATGCTGATGAGGCCGGAATACACAACATCCTGTAGATGTTAAACTGCAGTCCCAAATTAGTGTGTTTGAGACTATTACTCTCTAGATAAGGAGATCAGATTAAAAGTTTATAGCCACAGCAAAGCTTCAAATGCCACTATAAGGCCGGGGAGGTAGCTCAGTAAAATAAGTGATTGCCTGGCAAGTGCAGGGTCCTGAGTTCAATCCCTGATACTGAAAAAAAAAAAAGATAAACAACTCTCCTAAGAATTAAAAAAAAAAAAAAGCCACTATAACATTGTCCATTTGTGCATTATTTACCTTACAATTGTTCACAACAACCTTGGGAAACCATAAAGAAACATAATGAACCTCGTCAGCATGGTGATGGTGGTGCATGCATGTAGTTGGGAGGCTGAGGCAGGAGGATCATTGTGAGTTTGAGATCAGCCAGGCTACATAGTGAGATCAAGATCAAGGATAGCCTGGGGGCCAGGGGGATGGCTCAGTGGAATAAGCACTTCCCTGGCAAGCGCAAGGGTCTGAGTTCAATCCCTGGTTCTGACAAA